GCGGTTGTTTGTGCTTCATAAATAAAGGCATCAATTTCTGAGTTACCACTTGTCCAATTTGAACGTTCAGATTTAAAAAGACTGGTATTACAACCGCGACACCATCGGGGAGACATCCATTCTTGACCACAAGAGAGACACCGATCCATTAAATTTTCAATGACAGCATATTCTTTTGTGACAGGATTACGCGTGATTCCATAAATTAGTCTCTTTGATGGTGGGTTTGATTTCGAAAATTCAGATTCCTTGAATTAATGTAAAAATGACGATGATGAGTAATACCATTCAAAAAAAGGAGAGAAAGATATATATAGCAATCTTACCAGTTTAAGGACCCGTGGTCCCAAGTGTTTTTCGGCAGAATAATTAGTTACCAACTTAACCCACTGCCCCCCATGTCGAAACCATTCACTCGCTTTTACATCCCACCTTAACAAATGCCCTTCTTCCCAATAAGCCTTATTGTTTCTAGAAAATTCGACCTTTTGGAGTAGCGTAAATTTAGAATAGTCAACCCATTCGAACACACATTCGTGACGTTTGGCGGTTATTTGAGAGTTACGAATAAACTCGTCTATTTCTGCATTATCACTTGTCCAATTAGGGAAGTTGTTTTCAAAGTGCTTTGCGTTACATGGTGTACACCAACCAGTCGTCGTGTCAATGTCTTGTTCACATTCTTCGCATAAAATGGAAGTCATATTGAATTGACTCACTATTCCTTGTATGTTCAAGTCGTGTATTTAAACGTGGTGAGCGCATAATAATAATTTCCGATAGAATTGTGCACATAAATACAAAAAAAAAAAAAAAAAAAAAAAACACAAATTGCGATATATGGCAATTTTACATTTTTGAATGAATAAGAACCAATAATATTGTTTGTGAAACTATATTCGAATGAAAATGGTAGGTATATAGATATTGTGTGTAATAACTAACAGTCGGTTATTGATTACTGAAGTAACCTTTTTTTGTTATATAAAGATAGCGAAGAATTCGAAGAATTTAATTGGTAGATTAATTGCAGCAAATTATTTGGAGCTGTTTTAGAAAATTTTCGTCTTTTCAGTTGGGAAAAAACTTTTTATAAAAACGAAAATTAAGTTTATTGCACAATCAGTGATTGATTGTTAAATGTTAGCCCCGTCATCCTGTGATCAAACGAGTAACCATATCTCAAAGGGCGAATTACCAAAAAAGGCAAGAGGAGGGCATTGATACAACCCCGTTTGTACCAAGAAAATTCAAATTCCGATACTGACGAACTGATCCTCGTATTTTTTTTTTTTTTTTTTTTTTTATTGTATTTCAGATATTTCTTTCCAGAAGTGCTTTTTTCCAAAAATTCTTTTTTTTTTTTCACTGTATAAAAATAGATAAAAACATTAAAAAAAAAAAAATTATATTGTGACTTATTTTCAAAATAGTTGAATGTTTCTTTGATCTCAAAAAAAAAAACACTCCGAAACCTCGATCGACAAATTGCATTTTCAAAAAAAAGAACGTAGTACAATAATTTCTAGCCAATAGTATAAATAAGCACAATTAACATTAAACACGCTCTAAAAACACACATTGAATAGATGTTCGATCGACAAATTCAATTAGATTCATTACATTATTGATGACGTAATACAAGATATATATCTGAAAAACAACTTATGATCGACAATATATATTTTATATTTACTTGGTTTAGATGGAATTATATTGGTCATCAAGCATCTTTTTTATTTTATTTATTTTTTTTTATTTTTATTTTTTAAAAAAAAACTTGTTTTAAAAAATTTTCAGCTTGTATTACAAATAAAAAAAAATTTTGGAAAAAAAAAAATGATTTTAGCAAAAAAAAAAAAGTGAAAATAGTAACTGATAAACATCTGCATAGGGTGAAATAGTACTACATATTTGGATAAAAAAAAACGATACATTCATTTGTTGAACAGTTTTCTATAAACTGTAAATTTCGAAAAATGTCGAACCAACGTGTCGTAGTACTTGGCGCTGGTAGGAAAGGGTATTTGAAAAGCCACAATTACTAATAACGTTTTCGGAAAAGTTGACAATTTCGTCCAAAAATGCGTAGGTATTGCAGGGCTATCTACGGCTAATTTACTCTTACAGCAAGAAAAAGGGTTTAAAGTGCATATTGTCGCCAAACATTTTCCAGGGGATTTATCTGGCGAATACACAAGTCCTTGGTATATAAGTTTACTTAAGTTTTAATATCACTTTGAAGTTTTTAAATGTTTGGCTTATACTTATATTATAGGGCTGGTGCACACTGGAGAAGCCATGCTACAAAAGATGACACTAGACAGCAAGGTATGAGAAGTTATTTGATAAATTTTATTCGCATATTAAAGTATTTCATTAATATTTTGAATTATCTAAAAGAATTTGATAGAATAACTTACAACCATCTTTGGAAACTTGCTAAAGCACCACAAAATAAAACAGGAATTATGATTATTGATGAATTCGAATATTGGGAGAGATTTCCACAAGATTTCTCTGATCCATGGTTCAAGACATTATGTCATGAGGTAAAAGAGTTTATTATTGGGCTCAGAGTATAGTAAGGTCTATCATTTAAATTCATTTTGTTATTATTTAGTATCGACATTTAAGAAAAGAAGAGCTGCCAACTGGCATTGAGTTTGGAATCACATACAAATCAAGTAATTTATCACAAAAAAATGTTCTTTATTTTATTATTTCAATCTTTTCATGACTGACCGGGATGATCAATTTCTACAAGTTTCTATTAATCCATTAACCTATCTTAGCTACCTTCTCAATAATTTCACCTCTTTGGGTGGTACCACACAACGCGTCAATTTATTATCACACTTAAATGAATGTTTGGAAAGCGAAACCGATATTGTTATCAATTGTTCGGGTATTCATGCCAGAACTTTAGGGGGAGTTGAAGACCCTAACGTCTACGCAGCGAGGGGTCAAACTGTGATTGTGCAGTTGCCTCGTTCATATATGAATTGGGCTTTCTTTAAGCGAGGTAAATATGAAAAGATGTGTTTGTAAATTTAAAAAATTAAAGAATCAAAATCAACATAAAGTACATTTACTTGCTAATGCATAATCGCAAAAGCGGCTAATGGAGGAGAAGTAACATACGCGATCCCGCACGATGATGGCGAAGTTATTCTTGGTGGAACTTATGTGAGCTTTTTTCCGTCTTTTATATTTGTCAAATATGTAGCTGAATTAGATTCTAGTTTTTTTTTTAATTATACTCATTTCTCCAAATATAGGACGAACATAAATAGTAAGTAAATAAAAAATTCTTATCTCATATTGATAAAGCTCTAATTTATTAACTGTTTTCAATTATTAGTTCGACAGACATTGATTATAATACAGCTAAAGGAATTATTCAACGATGTCTCGCAACTCGTCCGGATATCTTGCCAAACGACCAAACTCAACTAACAATCAAGAGGCACGGAGTTGGTCTTCGACCTTGTCGTAAAGGTGGTGTAAGAATCGAGGCCGAATGGACAAGTACGTGTGCAATTTTTAGTGGAGCAAACATATATTGCGCTTGCATCTTTCTCATTGAATTTATGATTTAGTTTCGAAAAAATTCGGCAAAAGAATTCTCATTTGTCATAATTACGGTCATGGGGGTTCTGGTAAAGAAGAGTTGTATTATTTAATACTTTTTTTTTTTTTTATCTAACATTATTTTTCTCTTTGAAGGCTTTGAATCAAGTCATGGGACCGCACAACATACGATAAAGGTCTTGAAAGAAGCTTTACAGGGACGTCCAAATTTCCAATTGCAAATTTCAAAACTTTAGTTTAGTCTTCAATATTTTTAATACAGTATGAAATACAGAGTTAAACTTGCATAATGGTTTGGTTTTTATTTGGATTAATTTAAGGGTACATATATTTATTTTATAAAAATACGCAAAATTTATTTTTTCTCAACTGTAAAGCCCAGACTTATAAATATTTTTGATGACGATATTTAATAATATTTAAATTTCAAATATAACTTTACTGCAAATGAAAATCATAAATAAATATATATTTTGCAAAATTATTTTAATTGGGATTTCGGGATTTAAATTTCATTAATTGTTTAATCTTACAATTAAGTATTTGGAGCTAAAATTGCAAGATAATAAAGTATTAAAAAATTGCTAAGGATCATATTTTATGTTTTAATCTTTTACTACTTCTTTAAACATTATAACATTATGACATACAGTATTTAAAGTTTAAAATTATTATTTGGATTGTATATGTAATTATGCATAATATTTTATAAATATTTTATCTTATTTTATAATATTTGCATAAAATATTATAATAATATTTTATAATAAATATAATCAAAATATTATAATATTTTGAATATATATTTTGCAAAGTATTATAATCTAAATATTGCATATATTTATTATTTTATAGCAATTAATTATTAATTTATAATAATCTTTTATTAACTCATATTATTCTTTTAATGATAAGTATAAAATTATCTTATAAATGTAGTAAATAATATTTTAACATCTAATAGAATAGTTGAGCTTATTCTAAATTAGTTATATATACCGGGGTGATAAAAATATTGCATGATCGAAAATGAGATATTGAATAAATTTTTCATTAATAACTGAGCCATATTTTATTAGAATCATTTTGGACATCTATTGCATTAATGAAATATTTTTATGAATTGTTTAATTTAATATGTTGCAATTCTTCTTAAAATCGAATTTTAAAAAATCTCTATTTTTTAATATTACGTATTTTATTTTTATTAAAAGGCTAAAATTCTATTATTAAAGCAAAAAAAATTGGATTCAATAACTCAGAAATCATAAATTTTGTAAGATATCATTGACTGATCTTATGTAAATACTTGCAGCTTATTAATTAGTAAAAACTTAAAAAAAGTTAAAAGCTGATCCTTTAGTGAAAACATATAAAATGCGAAGTATTGAAAAGTAGAAATTTTTTTAAAATTAGATTTACACTATACATTACTCTAAACTAAGCAATGAACAAAATGTTTTATTAGATAATAATTAGCTAATATGTTATTAAAAAATATAGCTCAATTACTTATTAAAAATTTACAAAATTGTCTAATTCTTGACTATGCAATACTTTTGTTACCCTCCTGTAAATTAGTCTAAAACAATATAAGATTATTTTTGATTTAGTTTTATTTTCTTAGCTAAATAAAAATTTTTGTATTTTTTTATTTGTAATTTATAATCTTATAAAATTTTACTTTATTTTTAATAAAAATTATGCAAAGTTACTGCACATTAAAAAATTTTAACATCTAATAATCATAAAAAACTTTATTAATTTACCTTATTAAAATTCTTTTTTTTTATTATAATTTATTATATACAGTCTCTGGTGAAAAGAATGATAGACACATTTTTAAAGATATGTAATTTTTTATTATTATTTGTATTTTTTTTATTATTATTTAAAAGAATAATACTAATACAACATTTTTATTATATGATTATACTTTGTATGACCTTCTTTTGCATCAATGCATACTTGAATCCAATTTGACATGCTTTTGATGTATTTAAGTAATATATCATTATTTAAATTATTCTATTTTTACTGGATTATGGTAAAAAAAATCTCTTGTGAGATTTTTTTATTTTTTGTCATTAAATTCTTAATCTTTCTCTCTACTTTTCTTTAAAATAGCTCATACATTCTTAATAGGATTCAGATCTGGATTATATAAAGGCTAAAAAAGAATCTGTCTTAGAAAATATTCTTTCAAGTCATGCTGAACGTCTCGTAATTTGTGTTTTAGATTATTATTTAGTTAAAAGATCTAATTATGACTGTATAATATAGTTGCATTATCATACAAATGTTTGTTCAAGATTTTCTAGTACAAATGACGATCCAAATTTTTTGTGAACAGATAAATTCTAACTTTTTCTTTGACGCTAATTATTGCTCAAATGTAAATCTTAAATAAATGTTTTACTATAGGAGTAACTGGTTGAGTATTATAAGACTATATATAAATAGTGTTGCTAAACATTTAAAGTATTATTTTATCAAAAAAAATAATTTTTTTTAATTAAAACGCAAATATTCACGTAACTAAAACAAATAAATATCCTTTATTTTCTAGGTCAAGAGAGGCATTTTTCATAAAAAAATAGAGACGTAACTGAGATTTTTGAGTTTATGATATATTATACATTTACTAACCTTAAGCTCAAGATCTTTTTCTTCTAATTTAACCTTTGGTTTAGCTACCGACATAAAGTGGTTGTATTGTAAAACTTTTTTAATATAGCAACGTTAGTTTGAGAACAATTTTCTTGAGTAACTAAAAAAATGACTGATAATAATATTGCTAGTTTTATATAGCAAACTGATATATTATTTATATGTACACAAAGAAATGCACAATCGTTCATGAATTTTCTTTACACTATACATATTTTTAATTCCAGAGGAACTTAATAAAGTTTTGTTGTATTTTAAGGAAGCTTGGCATTTTTCAGAGATGAAATCAAAACAAAAACAATAACAAACTCTTTTTTTAACTTAATTTTTAAATTAAGATTCTGATACCCGATTTGATCATATAAATAATAGTTTAAATCAGAGATGTAATTACATATCAGCTTAAAATAGATGCAGTATTTCTACTACTATTCTTTTTGCTAAGGACTGTAATACCATTTAAAAAATAGATTTTTAGTTAATTTTATAATATTTAATATAATTATTAATTTTATATTTTAGCTAAAAAGTTAAATTAAACTATTTAATTATTTAAAAATAAAATATTTATATATTTATTTTATTATAAAATAATCTTTTTATTTATAAAAAAATAAATAACATAAACGTTTTTATAATAAAAAAGGAAATAATCAAAAATATTTTTTGAATTAATATTAAATTTGAATTTATTTTATTAAAAAAATAATATTTGATTTATAAAATAAAAAAATTTTTTTTTAGTAATGTATGACATTTAAAAATTTTAATAATTTTAAAAAAAATTATTATTTTAAAACTAAATCAATTTATTAACCTTTTTTCAAAAAAATAAAAATATATTTTTTTCATATAATTAATATCTAGTAAAATAAACATATATCTTAAAATTGACTAATCAAAAAATATATATAATTTTATTGATTAATAAAAATCAAAATTCTTAAATATTCAAATGAAATATATTTTTTTGTTATTAAAAAATATTACAGAAAAAATTTATTTGACTTTAACAATATAATAAAAAAGATTTATTAAAGAAAAAAATTAAGACTATTGAAAAGAAATAGAAAAGAAGAGAAAAAATTAAGAAAAAGGAAATATAAACATATTTACTTATAATAGAGCTTATAAAGAATAAACTTAAAAAATAAAGAATAATTAAAGGAATATTAAAAATAAACTTATTATCATAAGTTTAGTACTTTCAATTCACTTACTAATACTTTTAAAGAAGAACTTAAAATTACTAATTTTTAAGATAGTGGTAATTCTTTATTATCTAAATCTTTAGATAATTATATCAGTAAATTTGTTAATAATTCTTTAACTTTATCTTCACCTTTATTTTCTCTTATATTAACTTTTTTATTATTATCACAATCTCTATTATATTTCTTTATTCTTTTTATTATTAGTATCATTTGCATTATTTGATCTCTATCAAAAATTTAATATTTTATAAAAAATTTATGCAACTTTAAGATAATCTTTTTATAAATAAAAAAAAAGTTTATAGTTTTTAATTATAACAAATTGTATGCTATTTATAAATATTTTAAATAGTTAAATGATAGTTATAAAAAAAATAAATGATAATAAAAAGTATTGCAAATAATTTATATTATTTAAAATTATATACTAATTACTAAATAGATTTATTCTTTAATCTTATTTGAATTATAAATTATTCTGATTTTATATTATAATAAATAATAAATTTGTTAATAATAAAGATATTGTAATGAGTTATAATAATGATTATGATAAAAATTAATTCAAATAATATTGATATAACTTATTTAAATAATATATTAAAGATTTTTATTTTACCTGAATATATAAAAACCTAAAAAAAAATTAATATAAAAAATGCTAAAATATAGTTACATATTTTGAGATATCAATTTAAAGAATATTTTTATATTAATAAATATAAATAAGAAGATATTATTACATATTAAAAAGAAATTTTAGAAGTAATAAAAGAATCAAAATAATAAATGAAAAATATAAAGAAAAAGAAACTTAAAGTGATTTTACAGTATTCAAATTAAGAGAAAAAACTAATTCTTATTATTTATAATAAGTATATTTTTTATGTAAATAATAAAAAAATTTGGATAGCTAATAATAAAATAATATTATAAAGAAAGAAACATAAAATTGATTATAATGAGCAAATTTTTTTAGAAACTTGTAATTAATTAAAACTTAGTAAAAAAGAGATAACAAAAATCCAGATATTCTTATAAAAACTTATTATTATCTTTTGTTTAGTAAAAATCAGGAAGATTATTAAACCTTTGAATGTTAAAGTAGATTAAATTCAAAGTAATTTCTATTTTTAAGGTAAAAATTTCATAATACAATAGCTATTTTTATTTTTAATAATAGTATAAACTATATAATATATATCAAAAATGCTCTTATTATAATAAAAAGAAATTTGAGTTCTAAAAGAAAATAACTAATTATAAAATTAACAACTTTTATTAATAAGATAGACAAAAAATAACCTTGCAAATGATATTTTTAAAAGATTATTCTAATTCTATCTTATGAG